CACAAGGCTATCAGCTCAGGGTTTTTAAGAGTGTAGTGAGGGATATTCCAGAAAAACAACTTGAACTTGAATTCGACTAATTCTGGGTGATATCTCAGTTTGTGGCATACATTACTCCCCAATGAATTTGTATGTACAGTAGATGCATGTAGCTGACGTAGGAACAGTCTGAATAAAGCCTGAGGGTCTCCTTTACCATCCGTGCCTAAAGTTTGGCTATAAAACTACGTGTCGGAAGAAGGTGGTGCTGGAAAACTGTTTAAAGAAACATTGTAAATAAGCGGCCGGATGCAAACTGTGGTCCTCAATCTCAAAGTAAGCTAAGATAGAACTTTGTGTATCCTGGCTATTCAGCAGTAGCAGTAGATCGAGTGGAAATATACCAGGAATAGTGTCCATGAGCTGTCAGTCATTCCATGTGACGTGGATAACATGTGAAGATGAAAGCCACAGAGCGAAGGTGTTTCCTGTGGCGTGTCGTGGTGCATTGTGCCACTGCTTAAGGACTTTTACATCAGGTAATGGGTGAGAGTCATTGAGCTCCTGACGTCTCCACCAAACATTCACGCTCCCCTCCAGGACAGAGCCAGTCTGTAGGCGTCCACTGTCCTCACTCTGTGTTGTGGTGGAGTGTGGAGGATGAGTTCAGGAGCCTGAGGACGGATCTGCTGTCTGCTGGTACGGCACCGGAAACTTCTGTAACGCTTTTACAACTGCAGCAGGGCGAGCAGGCGGTGGTGGGAGGGGGATTGGATTTTAATATCCTTTAGGCTCCTCCTCTCACAGGTATCACAGACGATGGGTAGATTGTTGGTAGATTTTCGGATGATTCTTGGTAGTTTGGTACAGATGATATTCTGGGCAGTTTAAGCAGGGCCCTCCTGTCCTGAGCCATGCATCAGAGGTGGGAGAAGTACCCAGATATTGTACTTGAGTAACAGCTGAAGAACCACAGTGTAGGAATACTCTGTTACAGTAAAAGTCCTGCATTCAACATTTTACTCAAGTAAAAGTACAAAAGTATTATCATCAAAATAAAGTTAAAGTACCAAAAATATGTCCATTTCAGAATAATAGATATGATATGTTTTATAAAGATTGATCATGAAAGTGTTCTCAAAGCTGGTAAAGGTGCAGCTAGTTTGAATGACTTTGTATACTGCAGGGTAGCTTGTGAATTGACTCTGAGCACCCTGAGAAATGTCAAATAACTTCTGCTTAAAACACTTTTCTTCTGGTGTTATGTCACTTATGCTCATTATCTCAGTGCTCAACTCTTTATCAAGACAGGATCCACGTTCCCTGACTGCAGTGAAGCTTGTGGCTCAGAGTGTTTACAGTCATCACTAGCTGACATGGGGTCTCAAATTTAAAATGATGAGTGTTTTAATCATGTGAAGTGCTCAATTGCATTGCAGTTGAGTGTTTTCCTTTGAATGACCTGACAGGGATGTTAAATACCCTAAAAAGTTCCCTAAAAGAAATGTCTTTCGGGAAAATATGTCGTAACTACTTCTGAAGGAGCTTGTTTTGTTGTTCTCTGTGTTCTGCAGCAGCTCTTCCCAGAGGCAGCGAGTGAACAGTGACAGCTCTGCAGCTGAAGCTCTGACACACAGCGCTGCACCTGTGGCCAGCAAGCTCAGCAGGTGAGTTCCCTCAGACACGCACACTTTATCGTTTTGTTGGCAAAGAAGACGCTCCAAGTACAACAACGGTTACATAATTGGTGATTTGACAAGTTAACCAGAAAGGAAAAAGCCTGCATTAATGCGAAGAAAGGTGAGCAAACAGATGCTGTCTCTCTCGCTTGCACTTGCTGTTGAGTACGATGGCTGACTGCAAAAGCCCAGACATCTTCCATCAGGAGAACATCCCTTTCAGAAACAATGCAAATATAAAATTACAAATGTGCCAAAACAAGACACCTCTTCACCATCGAACCCTTCTCACACTCAACAATCAAGATCTTGCTACACAACAGAAGTTACGAGGCCAGCTGCAGTTGGTACAGTAAACACAGCAATATACAAATAAAAGTTATACATTTCACTATTTAAGTAACGTACCACTTTACTGCTGTTCATTTGGTTAAAGAGCAGTCTATTGATTTGTTACCACAGAAAGCTAATGTGGCGATCGTCACTTCCAGTTAGAGCACTGAAGCCTTGTGCATCTTGAGACTTCTCTCAAATGTTTTACTCTTTAAAGGTGTCCTATCATGCAAAATGCACTTTTTCATGTCTTTTCTACATAAAGATGTGTCCCCGGTGTGTCGGGGAACTCACGCAGCGTCAGAGAATAAAACCCTCTCTCTTTTCCTCCGTACCCAAATCTCTAAAAACGGGGGTACAACGGAGCTGATCCAGATTTGAGTCCGATATGAAGTAATATCGGCAGCGGACTCACAGCACTATCAGAAACGTTGCTATCAGAAACAATGCCCGACTGTTTTGGACGTAATAAATTCGGTGTTTACATTAGCATCGCTAACACTCAGAGCTAACCTGTACTACACAGAGCATGTGTGTGAAGAAGCAGGAAATAAAAAGGAACTCACCTTGTGGTATAACCGGCAAGAGAGAAAGCCTTTGAGCTCCATACTGTTTCAGAAATAATCCTTGATCTAATAATCCTTCCGTTTCATCACCGCAGCATTTTAGACAGATCTGCTAGGTCCCACATGAGCCGCCATAAGCTCCGCCCCCTCTTATTTTTAATTTTGTTCCGTTTTTTTGCCTTTTATTTATACAGGTGACAATCTAATTGAGACACAGGGTCTCATTCTCAAGAGAGACCTGTTTATACCCAGAATCAGCACTTTTGTAACAGGAAGTGAAATAGAGGGATATGAATGGGTGATCTATTTGGTTTTTTGACCAAAACACTTCATAGACATGTTTTTTATATTTTTTCATATATCTGAGGCCTATTCTATTGCCTAAAAATAGCACGATAGGTGACCTTTAATTCTTCATGAAAAAGACAGGGGATAGTCACTGGTCTCCGAACATAGGTACAGATTCAAGTATTATTTACTCTGGCAAACCCAACAGGAAGTAACCCAAAGTTTGCTCTAATTTCACTTTGCAAATGACGGCTATACACCACTACTGTTTTTTTAAGTGCGAAACAAAGGAGCCTTTTATGAAACATTCATACATGTAAATGTATCGTTATGTTCTTATATGTTCTGTGTCTGATTTGTGTTTTGCAGGGCGGGTTGCATCCATCGTTCCAACACCACTGCTGCTGATTTCAAACCAAGACTGAGGTAAGAACACCTGCAAACACATTTAAATAAGCAAATCACAATGAACCTCTTAACATAGGACATGGAATAATGTCTCAGCACTAACCTGTAAAGCTAACACACAGAGAGAGGACATTCCTTTACTGTCTCTGTGTGGACTTTTAATTCACAACCAACCCGTTCTCACAGCTCTGTGATTTGATCAGTTTGAGCCGGGTTTCTGTCACATGACGCTGCTCATTAAAACATACCGGTACTCATTAAAGCAAAACAGTCCTCCGCTCATTAAAACACTGTGCCACCGTCAAAGGAAGTACATGCAGTGATGCCTGCACCCTGAAAAGTCCAATATGTGTGTGTGGGGCTACGCATGGGTCACATCTTTTGTTTAGTTAGAAAAACACGTGTTTAACATGATTTTTCTGTATTTGTTTACACCAGATTAGTTCCTTAAATTATTAATCCAGACGGAAAAAGATGCAATTGAAAAAAATCTTGTTTGTCTAGCACCAGTGTATGAAAACTGACAACACACAGGTGTCATGATTTTTGAGCACTGCGAATGTATCAATGAACAGGAAGTGGTTGATCAGCTGTTCTTTGTCCAGACAGGAGAAGATCCAGAAGACAAGTGAGACTGAAAGGGAGCGAGAAACAGGTAGTGTGTGTGTGTGTGTGTGTGTGTGTGTGTGTGTGTGTGTGTGTGTGTGTGTGTGTGTGTGTGTGTGTGTGTGTGTGTGTGTGTGTGTGTGTGTGTGTGATAAAGTGGGACAGCTCCTGTGTCTCCAGACAGACAGTTTTTGTTCTCTGACACATATATTTCCTCCATCTGTGTCTCTGGGCGCTCTCGTTGCATGCTGGGAGTTGCCTGTGTGTCTGTCAGTGTCTCTCTCTCTCTGTGATCCGCCTCACTTTTGTTTCTCTCTCGGCGCCGAGTTTGCCAGCAGTTTATTTTGGATTCCAGTTTTGGTGTTTTTTAAGCTGAACACAACCCAGTTCTCGCCGTCAGTGATTAAGAAGTGTCTGGAATCTGTCCCATGATGCAACAGCAGCCACTGATAAAGAAAGGCTGTTATTTCTCAAAGACACATGTTGAGCCAGCAAGTAATCCCAGATACTTAAGATACACCTGCATTCAACGACATCTTTAAATAATTCTAGCTTGAGTAAGTTCCAACAAGTTTTCACATTTGAATATAAAAGGCTTTAAACCTGGATATCAAACTCTGTGCATTTGTACACAATCTTGGGAGAATTCAATACAACTTGTCTTGTGTCAACAACTACAGCTATTTTGACTTTTAACAAGATGAAGGATTTGAGTCATGACACATCTAGATCTTACCTTATCAGGGAAACAAACAAATGACGCCCGACAGCTTTGTAAAAACACATTTTTAACATAAAACGGATTTATTCATTATCTTTTAAAGCTTTTACTCATCAGACATTTTGCTTTTGGAGGCCTCTTTCTAGATAATTTGACACCTGGTCAGAATCTGCATCTCAAGATATCCGTGAAACAAGATCAAGTTTAGTCAGTTTCAGTACAACGAACAACAACACGTATTTATAAAGTGAAACTGCTTTTTTACGTGTTTTTAATAACTTGGTCCATTTGTTATGAGGAGCAGGAGACCTCTGGAAATAATTTGGCTCCTGGTAGAAAGCTCCTGAACGATTAACAATGAAGGAGTTTAACAGTCAACAGCTAATGCTAACTAGCTCTCCTCCTGCCGGGTTTTCACATGGATTAGTTCACAAAGTACAAATATTAGACGAAATAAATAGGGTCTGGCCCCTGGAGGCACAAAGAACATCTGGGTTTGGCACACACCTTCTATGATGTTAGTCTTTATACAGCATCTTCGTTATAAACTCTGGGTGTGAGACACAAATAATCCACAGGTTATACGTTTTTTTACTTTCAATCATTCAATCATAAAATATTATATAACATACATCTCTTAACAGTTCTAAAAACAATATTTCTGTTGATATAGGTTCAGTTATTTCCTTACACAGTACTCACATGTTTATTGAAAGACATTGTACTGCTATGGTGAATGAGCCTCGACACTGAGAGCCCTTCAGTGTGAATGTACTGACGGATGTTTTCTTTTAGGTTTTAAAAGATTGTTCATATGAAGCAGAACCTATTTGATTTAGATGTCTCTCTCATCTCTTACACGTGTGAATATCGATTTTCGATAAACTTGATTTCAGCTGAAGCCATGTCTGATACCGATGCAGTTTGTGCATACCTCTTCTAGAATATTCTTATTCTAATGCAGACATGGTTCCTCTCTCTCTCTCTCTCTCTCTCTCTCTCTCTCTCTGTCTCTCTCACACGCACACACACTTGTGTCACTTGCTCCATTGAACCCTCAGTTTGATGCAGTCAACCTGTCTGACCCTTATGGGAGCTGTGTGTGTGTGTAGGGGTTCTTTGAAGAGACAGAAAGAAGGGGGGGCAGGTCTTGCATATCCTCTCTGCTTCCATAAATCTCCCCTCCTCGTGTCTTTGGACCGACCCCTCATTTTCTCTGCTTTATTTAAATTCCTTCCCTGGGCTAAATGACTTTAATTCCAGCATCCAGCCACATCCAGTGTGTGTGTGTTGGCTGTTTGTGCTTTGTGTGTTGTTTTTGGTTTGTCTTACAGGCACAAACGCTATTAGAGATTTCTGAAGTCTCTCTCTCTCTCTTTCTCCCCCACCCCACCACCCCCCACCCCTCTAAGCCTCACATAACTGGATTAGGACTCAGCTATTTAGAGAGAGGAGCGAGTATTGAGGTCAACCTAATAAACATTCACCTCATAAGGCTGCAGTCTGTGTTTCACATAGTTTCCATTATCAGCATGTATTACCTTTGTCTAATTCACTAGCTGGAACTGTATGCGAATGCTACATTGTATATTTACCTGATTTTATTAGAATGTGGAGATTGATAGAAATATGAACACAATATGAACCTGAGCTTTAGAGATAGGGTTCATGCAAGACTGTTGTATAACACCATCATCGTTTCCCGTAAGCTACAATTTATTTATCAAACTTTTGTAAAAAAATAAATAATGTTGCACCACATAATCTAAAGAAGCACATATTCATGTTGCACGACTAGCAGCTAATCTGCAGCATCCGTGTGTGTGCTCTGATTCTATTGACTGTGACCAAACAACATACCAACTGTCATCAGATGCTCATTCAAATGTGCTGGATTCTGATTGGTACACAGAGAATGTGACATCAGATTTCATGAGGAGATGATTTACTCCATTCACCTCTGCCTGCAGATTGGTGGGGTATTTAGCATTTCATTTACATGAGTTTATATTGACTATCTTGTCTCTGTCTGTCTCTCTGTCAGAGATGTTGATCGAGTTAGTGAAGAACAAGGATGAGAAGAAGGTGAGTTTATGAGCCACTCCGCTGGAATGAATCAATAACCATTCATAACAACAGATGTAATGTTGCCTCTCAAAACAGTGTTTGCTATCACTTAACATATAACTCCATATCTGTTTAGCTTCTTGAAATTATACCACTTCCGAACAAGGTGGTATCGGCTAAATAAGAGTACATTCACAAGCTACCCTGCAGTATACAAAGTCTTTCAAAGCAGCTGCACCTTTACCCGCTTTAGTTATAATCAAAACATATCATCAGTAGCAAGGAAAGTAAGTGAACCCTTTGGAACAACCTGCATTTATGTATACATTTGTTCCAAAATATGGTCTTCACCTAAGTAACAAAAATGAACGAACACAATCTGTCCTCAGTAGACCTAGGACGATTTGCACAACGCTGCTGGGAAACTGTTAGTGTGATTAAACTAATGTTGAATTATAGGGGAAGAACTCGCAGCACTATGGCAGAAATAAAGCACTGCATATCAAATGATAACATCATCCCAAAGGCGATGTTCAGTCACATCATGATTTTGGGCTGCTTTGCCGACTCGGGGCCTGGACAGTTTGCCATTGTCAAAAGAAAAATGAATTCTCAACTGTATCATGATATCCCGCAGGATAATGTCAGACAAGGGTTCACATACTTTTTCTCGCCACTGTATTATTCTGGAATGGGCCAATCTGCATAATAAGTACTTCTACTTTCGGTGCTTTAAGTGTGTTTTGATGCCAATACTTTTCAATTTATACTTGAGTAACATTTTGATCGAAGGACTTTTATATTGATACTTTTATAATTGTACTTAAGGACAAGATCTGAGTTCTTTTTCCACCTCTGCTGATTGGAAAGCTTCCTCCCTGAATCAGAACGTTGCATGTTGTTTTCCATTTTGAAGCTAATCCAGCCGCTCTTCCACCCACAGCTGCAGGAGCTGCACCTGAAGGGGGCGGAGCTTACAGTGATTGACAAGTCAGGCTGCAGTTTGCTGCACCACGCCGTCTCTGCAGGAAGCAAGGAGATGGTCCGCTACATCCTGGACAATGGTGCGGTACAATGTACTTTATGTTGTAATCGGATTACATTTGACAAAATGGTTATTCTTATCCATAAACTGTTGCATTTACTTTTAGAACATGTGTTTTTCTGCATTTAAAGTCAAGCGTAGGTCATGATGAATAACATGGCAGGTTACTCACCTTTGACAGCATTAAAGTATCCACTTCTTATGCGTCTCATTGTTTTTAGTTCACTTTAAAATGGTTTCTGCATCCTGGGGGATACAGTCATTTGACAGGATGTGTCCATTTTTAAAATGGGTGTATTAACAGAAGAATTTTAGTGAAATGTGGGTGTAATATTTGTTTAACAGGGGTCTAAAAAAAAGTGAAATATAGGTTTAATAAAAGTGAAACATGGGTGTTATGTAGAAAATAGTATTCAATTAATTAACTGAGTGTTAGTGTTATGCCACTGTTAGATACAAAATGCATTACATAAAGTGGTTTAAACATTATGATGTGTATAACAGATTGTCAGTGGTGATGCTGTGGTCTAATCTCCTTTTATCTTTCTCTTCCAGCTCCCAGTGATCTGCTCGATGTCACAGAAAATCAGCAGTGAGTACAGTCATGGAAACCTTTATCGCCTTTACACCAATGATAAAGAGTTTGAAATTTGATCTCAATTATTCTTTTTGCTCAGAAAATGTTGTGAAGCTTGTAAGCTGTAGCTTTGAAGATGTCCCACTGGCTGTCTATGTGTGCAGGGCATCCCAACAAGTGGACCTTAAAGAGAATAAATAAACACATACAAACCAAACACAGTGCTCTGGGTGCTGATCATCATGGAGGCTTGACTCTCAGAAGATTCTGCTGTTCTCTCATGCTTGCTCTCCCCCTCTGCCCCCCCCCCCC